GCTGTTGGGAGGAGCTGGGAAAGCTGAGTCCCCGCGCGAAGGCACCGGCGATCGCCGTCCCGTGGAGCGAGAAAAGGGGAGAAGCGAGTGTTCAGGTGAGCGCCTGAGGCTGCCCTCGGGAATGTTGTCGCAGCCGGACGGGACATCCCAGCGCCACCCCGGTTCCTGTCCGTCCCACGGCTGAAGGGGGGCTCGGCACCAGCCCTGCTCCCGGGGGCTGTGGCAGCGTGCGAAAGCCAGTCCCTGGAGCACCTGCAGCCCTGGGAAATAAAGACCTTCTGCACCGCCTTGTGGTTCGCTGTATTTGTCTTTCCCTTTTCCCGTTTATTTTGATTCAGTTTCTTATCTGAAAAGTTATCTTATGAAGATTAGCTTAGAGAATGCTTTGCTTTAGTTGTGATAATGGTCACAGGGAGAGCGCTTGCCATATTGATGAGAAAAAATTCATAAAAACTGACGAACGTTGAAGGTGGATAGGGAGGGGGAATCCCAGGCAAGAGGCCTTTTCCCTTTACCCCTAGCCCCGGGGGGGGGGGAGGGGGGGAGCGGTGCTCCCTTCCACTCCTCCCCCCACCTCGCGGTGTCTCTTGGCCCTCACAGAGGGCACAGGACACCAACAGCAAGCAGGGAGAGCAGGCAGAGAGAGTTTATTGTTCTAGGTAACTGCTTAAATAGCTCGGGGGAGGGGGGTGGTTACAGAGTGACCATTGGGAGTCCAGGAGGTATTACAAACCAACCAATGATAACAAAGGGTTAACAACCAATAGGGAGACTTTCAGGTATCTCTCAGGTCATTCCAAAGGTATCTTGGGAAGAAGAAGGTGAGTTTGCACAAGTTACAAAAGCCATTTTGGAAGCATGTTCACTTTAAACAACATTACAATTTCTACTTCCTTTATATATTGCAAAGTTACCCACCCAAAAAAACAATGCTTGACACAAAATATATGTGGCTTCTGAGTGCATTCTATCTGGCCTGAAGTGCCTGTGAAATACCCTTAGTCAAGTGTTTATAAATACTACTTTGAATGCTTTAAAAACAAAGCTGTTTAGAAATCAGGACTCATTTGTACTTAATTAAAGAGGATAATCTAACCTGCTGAAAATGTTACTTAAGCTTTTTATAATCTTGATCTACCCTAGTAAAGAAGAGACAACTTACATGACTGTAAAGGATGTCAAGTAGCCTCTGCTTTCTGCATCTTGGTGTTGCTAACTGAATAACTGATTAATTTCACTTTGAGGAGTTCTGTGTTTTTAACTTAGCCTTCAAAAGCTAAAACTCTTCTCTGTTCTTTCCAAGTCAGGATCATCTCTTCAGGCTGTTCTGAATTTCTGTGGAAAATAAAGACAAATCAGATCCAACTCAGAAGTGGTCTATTCTTCAGCAGAACCCTGCCTTGGAGTGAGGCTTGTCATGACATCCTGTTCAAACTCTAGCTTTGACAAAAGCCTGGAAATACTAAGGGAAAATGTCAGTCGACACTTTATGAAGTATTGCATTTCTGGGTGTTCAATCCCTGTTCTATTTATACAATGAAAAGAGAAGCATGCACAGTGAGTCATGTCATGGTAAATCTACAGCTAAAAGTCTGCAGGGGAATGTGAATATGGTAATGTCAGTACCAGTACTTTAGAAATAGACTGACTTTTCTTTGTAAAAGTTGTCTTCTTGTGTAAAAAACATATATATCTTCACAGCTTCTTTGAGATCCCTCCTCTGCTTTGGTTACTGGGATATTAGTTGCTCTGTTGAGACATCAAGTTAACATCTTGAAGAGCATCTGTTTTTCAGGAAATGTGTGCATATGGTCTGCAGTGGACTGCAGGGGTCTGAATTCTCCTTGGGGTCTGAATTCTCCTTGGGGTCTGCAGGCTTTTCTTTGCATGATGTGGAACACCAGATTATAAACCTAGTGAAGTTCCCTAAGGGAGTCTCCCTGAAGTCTCGAAGGCGAACTATACAATGCAATGCAACATAACATTTCTTACAATACTTCTAATTCAGCAATCTTTTTCTCCTTTTGTCTGTCCTCTTTCTTAATGTAGGTAGTTGGCAAAGCCAAAATCAAGTCCAAAAAAGGAAGACTATAAAGAAGGTAAATAGTAGTAATTCCTTTGGATTTCTTTTTAGCCAGGTTTCTGAGGAGGATTGTATTTGGTCACTCTATTTCACTTGGCCCCAAAACGTTCTGAGTTCATCAACCAAAGTCAGCTGAAGTTGTGAGAATAGATATCACTAAGATAGGGAATTTCCTCTGAGTTTTACAAAAAGAGGTATATGCAAGTAGGAGGGAATGCTATTGAATTTTTTTAAGGTTTGGCAAGAGTGCAGTTGTGAATTCCTGCCTGGTCTTAGACACTAGAGTAGGAACTTATTAGTTCCTTAGCTCAGGTTTCTTTGTGACATGGATTTTCTGGAGTCTGCAGAGCACAGATTAATTATAAATAAGTAGGAAGGAATTTTGTAGTATTGTAATGATGCCTCAAAATTTTTAGCATTTTTAGGTTTTTGTAGGTTTTAAAGTAGCTGTGTAGTAAATATAGATTTTTATATAGCTGTATAGTCTGTCACTTTAAAATAGTAGTTATTGCTTAACAAACCCTATTCTCCCATTTCATGCTGAGTTTTCTAAATTCTTTAGACTTGTTTAGGCTCCTTTCAAGGCAGGACTATAGTAAAAACATTCTATTTAAGAACATATGTACCCCAGGCCTGAACAACAAGATACCATCATAGTCCAAGCAACCTTCAAACCCGGAACCCTGGAATAAGTCCAGAGACCGTACATGTTGTGAACAAGAGGAAGATGAGGAAGAAAGGAATTTTGGGACCTCCAGCTCAATTTCCAGGGAAGTGTGCCGGGGGGCAGGTTTGGGAGGATCTGGGGGCAGATAGTTCTCATATTAGACCATAAATTGTAGAACCCCTGGACACAGATGCACACCTTGTGCCAGAAGACCTTCATTCAAGACCTGATCTATATCTTACCTATAGTAATAATTGACTGGTGAGTCTTTTTCTCCCGATTTTAGGCAACAGTAACATAGGAGTTAAAAAGTAATTTGGCCACAAGACTCACAAACCGACTGACTTCGGGAAGTTGGTCATATTACCTTGAAACTGTATTTCTATGTGTGATGAGTACACAAGTGGGCTTGGTGCCCTGAGGCTACTTGCTGGCAGCTGGAAAAATCCATTAGCTCCAGACAGCATCCTGCCATCCATGGGCTGAGCATAGAAAGGGGCCCAAAATGCCCTTGTGTGTAGTTACTCAAGTTCTGCTTGTTACTTACTGAGCTCAAACGTAGTTTCATAGAGATCAAAGCCTATTTTTGTTTAAAGTAACATGGTGATGTCTCTATTACTTTGTTGTTTCCACTTTTCCACAGAGAAGTAACTGGAATAAATTTGCCTCCTGCATGGAACAGAAGTTGTGTGCTTGTTGTCATCAGATTGGCTTTCCAGTCTATTAAAAGTTGCAGTTCAAGTCAGGCTTTTA